CGACAGGAATAAAGCTTCATTAAAACTAATTAAAAATGAACTTTTAGTTTACTTAAATCTTTGTTTGCCATGTTTAGAGGCTATTAATGTATTTAAGAGCGACAGCAATTTGTTACTGGCTGCTAGGTGTAACAAAAAATATGTTTTTAAAAACAAAAAATGAAATACTTTATTTTTATGCTGGGTACTTTTTTTTTAACCTTTTAGTCGAGAAATACTTTATGTAAAGCCTGAAAAGGTGGCAACCCTAGTTATAATACACGTACTAAGACGCATTCAGACGTTTGAACTTTATACATATTTTTATAACTGTTATACATATTTTCTAAAATCAAAGAGGAGAAACCACCAGTTAATACTTAACATGTACAACAAATTTCAAACAACAGTTCCCGAAATCAGAAAGTTAAGTTAGTTTTTACAGTTTTTTTTTTGCTGCACACATGATGGTGACTGGGGTAGTTTGCACCGTCTTTCTGTAACTAGTCCACTGCTTAATGTATTATTCATCAAAATTCAAATATAGAGACTTTGCTTATGTACCTACGTTACGTCACTTGTTGAATTACTACGGCTTTCCACCTTAATAACAGTAAAGTCTTCTACATGCGTTAAACTGAAGAAGTCCCCATTTTGTATCAAAAACGTTTAAATGTTAATTTTTAAATATCAACTAATTTAATTCTGAGTTGATGGTAAGAATGAACAAACATACCTTTACTTTAAATACAGTTACATCAAAGTACTGCTTAACTTTAGTAATGAGCAAAATTCGTCTTGCGATAATGCAAGATCGAGACTAAAACTGTCTTTGTACAAGCAAGACCGAACGAACAAAATCAAGACAAAAATAAAGACCGAATATGCAAGACCAAGACCAAATACATAAGACTAAACAAGAAATTTCCAGTGGATTTATGAGTTAAACTATTTGAAGCAACTTTAAAATATTCTTTTCTTGGAAGAAAACATTTTTCGTATTTGAAATTTTCAATTTGTTTTCCTCAAAGTACCTAAGAGTCTTGGCTTAATCTTCCTTTGCTCATCACTACTAACTCATTCATTTATTGTTTTATTAAATAAAAAATCGTTCTATAGAAACAGTTTGCGTAATGTGTAAAACGCTTACCTTTGTCGCTATTGTCAGCCGCAATTTGGTATGTGCTGTAGGGCGTGCACCACTTACCTGAAAGCGAATAAGCAAAATTACGTTAAACAAATAATGATAAATAGGTATACAAGTGCGTGTTAAAGCCTAATAGAAGCTTCATTTTTGTGGTCTAGCGCAGGGATGGTCAAAATAACCACATCCGAAATCTACACAGAATTGAATGAGATATATGATTGTTATCCTTAGATGAAATTCAAACTAGATAAATGATATAAGAAATAAGCATCAGTAGTATTTTATAATTTATTAAATGGAGAAGACAGGACAAAATTAAGGATGTTTCTTCTTAATTAGCTATTTAGTTTTTTTTTTAAACAGGTACGATTTTTCTTTGCATTGTCGCGATCGATTGACCCAATATCCACAATCGATAGATAGATCGTGATCGATTCCTTGGTTATTCCTGGCAATAAGTAAATAATCGCTTGAAATCAGGAGCTTCATGCACATCTTCTTGATCGTGAGATGTAATTGTTTATTTGGATTATGTTTATCGAGAAGGAACTCGATAAGTGATAAAGTTAAAACTTTCAATAAAATTATCCAGCATGAATATGACATATGCAACTATTTATGAAGCAAGGGCCCAAGTGACAACTTTAAATGTTTAACATTTTTAAGAAGAAAATCCCGGAAGACTGTTACAAGAAGATTGATATGACAACACAAATGGACAGGTACGAACGCAGGGGAGAATTTTGGGGGTTCTAAGCTCGAAATGTGAGAAATTTGCGACAAGGTCATTTTTATGCTGGGCCCAGAAGGCCGAAGGGACCAGGAGTAATAAAACAGATTACTGTAAATTTATGAATAATTTTTAGATTTCAGTTTTTGATCTCTCTACGCCAGCAAAACTGATAGTGTTAAGTATGTGAAACAAAATAAAATATTTGTAAATAATATTAAGTTTTTCCAATTTGCATTCGCCCCTCGGTAATAGCTGGTTTTTTCTCTCAATTATCTGTTCAATATTCTTTCTATTTACTAACAATCCTGTAGGATTTATTTTACATTGTACCAAAAATTGTATTAACTGTAAGTAGGTATTGAATGTTTGAGAAGTTTTTTCATGATCAATATATTGTCATAAAATTTTAGAATCAAATTCGGACGTGTTTTGAAATTCTAAAAACTTAAACCCCCCCCCCTCGAAAATATTTTCTACGTTCGCCCCTGCAAATGGACAGTAACAGATAACTTGACCTAACAGATATCATTTATAATATACTGCACAAAATGCAGAAAACAAAATGTGCACCAAATTGATGGATCTTGTTGTATTTTTTAAATTAATTTTTGTCTTGAAATACTTGCTGATTGTCCGTTGCAGGGAGAATAATTGTTAAAGTGATGGTTGTTTTTTTAATATTTTTTTTTCGTGCATATGTATTATGGTGTTGCGGTGTTATCCTATGCTGTGTTGGGGCCAGTCCCCTTAGGCAGACATTAGTTGGCGAGTGTGAGCGGTTCTATGTATGAGGATTACTAAAAGTTCGTCTTGAAATGCAAATTTCTGGTTTTGAAGCTCGGGCGAAAGATAATTATGTAGTCGAGCGGTGAGAACGGCCTTTACACGGCTTCGTCGGTCCAAATCCGATTAATCCGTCCTTTGCGCCTTGTGCAGGGCCGGCTTTGTTCTCGGCCCTGCCATGGCGCCTGCCGCTAAGCAGCTTTAATCGGAAATTTCACGATTGTGTGGCTGTGCCAGAGGAACCTGACGAACTGGAATCATTTCGCACACCTAACGACAGGATCGACCATTCGTTCCTATGTTCATAGTTCGTTTTAACTATCTCGAATACAAAAGGTCGGAAGAGGATTTTCAAACCAACCGCACAGCTCTGCTCGTCAGCTGGAAACTTACTTCCAAATGTCACTTTTACATGAATACCTTCACATGCTAATGTTGGAATTTGATATCTGGCTCTACGGAAATGGAACTGATAGATTTAAATTTTAAATAAGAGGATTCTCATTAGGCTACCTTCTACAATCTACATATAATGATATCATGTGGTGCAGTTAGATATAAAGTACCCATTGTCATGAATCAGCAGCTCCTTTTAACAGACTTAAAAAAAAAGAGGAGGTTCTCAATTCGACTGTGTTTTTTTTTGTATGTTTGTTACCCGATTACTCCGCCAATTATAAATTGATTTTGAAGATTATTTTTTGTTTGGTAGGTCATACTTCAGAGGTGGTCCCATATAAATTTTATCGAAATTAATTCAGTGCTTTTTGAAAAAATCAACAAAAACAAAAAATATATACACACTAAAAATTGTTAGAAAAACAAAACAAAAGTAGACTTCAAGACTGTGGTTACATGTACAAACTAAAAAGTAGAAAATAATATTTTAATTGCTTCAAAGCAAAATGCATTATAGAACAATCGACAAAATTATTGATATCTATGTATCTATATTTACATTTTATAATCAGTTATTTTTGGAGTCGGTGCTATCTAGACCAAAAATAACCTTAATAGAAACCTATTTGATTAATCAATTGATATATGAATGCGTGTGGTGTTATAGGCGGATGATGAGGATATCGTGGGTAGAAAAGGTTAGAAATGAAGAGGTATTCGAAAGAATAGGAGAACAGAGGACTCTATGGAAGTCAATAAAAAATAGGCGGGTAGGTTAGTAGGACACCTTCTCAGGCATGAAGGTCTAGTCAGCGACAAAGGCAGAAACAGGAGTTAGGAAGGGTAGAGGTAGACTTAGATTAGATTACTCTTCGCAAATAGTTAAGGGTGTGGGCTGTTCTAGTTTTAGGGAAATGCGAAGTTTAGCTCAGGATAGGAAAGATGATGACTGATGACCTTATGATGATGATGATGATATGAATGCGAAAGTAGAGATTAGATAAAAGAAATCGGACGAAAAGTTTGTTGCAAAGGCAGAATTAAGCTGTCCCTCTTGACTGGCTAGTTAGTTAATTAGTTTGATGATATAGTTTCCATGTAGATATGCAGATTATGTATTATATCATAATCATAATCTTATCCCAATCATAAGAATTGCACTTTTCATGGCTTTACCCCTTTCTAAGAATTGATCCCTAGTTAAGCCGCACATTAGGACTTGTCAGGTAAATGAAAATATTTGGTCTGAAATTCGGTCGCTTAGTTAAAAGGTACGACCGTTTGAAAATTATCCTTTTTTCGTTAAAAATGATATTATACCTGGACAAAGAACTAGTAATTCCGGAGACAATTTGTAATAAAGGTCTCAGAGAACGTTTCTTTCCTTGATGTATAATAATGGCAATTTTCTAGCACGTATAGTTCATTTAAACGGATAACATACTCAACAAAATGAGAAAGGATACGTGATATTTTTACAGAAAGCCTTATAATGAAAACCTGAATAATTTCATTTCCCTTATTACTGCTCTTTTTCTTTCCACGAGAAAACCCTAATCCGTTTATTTATTTACCCCTTCGTAATGAAAAGACCGCTTTCAGTCCTTTACAGCTCTGTTTAGACCAAATAAGTAACCGAGTCGCGGCCTAGTTTCCTCCTCGAATATTACCCTTGAGCGCAAACGTTCGCAAAAAAAACATCCGACGAATCCTTACAAGACTTGCAATCCAATGCAGAAAGTTGCTAAAACTAATTAACTAAAATAGATTATTCTATTAACTACCATTTTGCCATCGAGTATTAGATATTTCGCAAACGATAGAACGCATATGTAAGTAATGTATGAGAAAAAATGTTTCCCTTCCCTTTAAATTTAAAAATATTATTAGACATATAAAAAAATAAATAATAGTAAAACAAAAATACTGGGATGCAAGGGAAGAAAAAGTAGAAGAAGTGGCCGATTTTAGGTATCTAGGAAGTCAGATAAGTCAGGACGGAAGAAGTGGTAAGAATATAAAGCAGAGGATGGCGCAGGGTCGATTGGCATTTAATAAAAAGAAGTTAATTCTACGCTCCAGATCGGTCAGTTAAGAAATTCCAAAAAGGTTGTATGTTTGGAGCACTGCGTTGTACGGGTGCCAAACATGGACAGTGGAGCGGCAGAAAAGAAAAGGTTAGAAGCGTTCGAAATGTGGTGTTACAGGCGAATAATGAGGATACCGTGGATAGAGAAGCTTAGAAATGAAGAGGTATTAGAAATAATAGAACAGATGACTCTATGGAAGTCAATAAGAAATAGGCGAGATAGGTTGGTAGACACCTTCTCATGCATGAAGGTCTAGTCAGAGACATATTAGAAGTAGAAACGGAAGTTAGGAGGGGTAGAGGTAGACCTAGATTAGATTACTGTTCGCAAATAGTTAAGGATGTGGGTTGTTCTAGTTTTAGAGAAATGGGAAGTTTAGCTCAGGATAGGAAAGAGTGGAGGTGCATGTCCAACCAGTCTTAGGACTGACGTCCTTATGATCATGATGACATATACAAGGGGTACCCAAGAGAAACGAAAATTGTTATTATTCTTTCTTTATTTTGGGTAATATCTTGCAAACATCAATTTCTTTCGAAATAGTATTAATTAGATGATATACACTTATCTTCACGGTCCACCTTTTTTATATGCGTCTGAAATAGTACCTACATCATGGAAATAAACCGATGTTGCAATAGGTTATGTCAGGCGAGTAAGGAGGGTGAGAAACCGTTGTAATGGTATTTTTCATTCAAAATTGGTTGATTTTCAACGTTGTATGAGTAAGCAAGAAATCATGAAGAAAAACGTGTCAAAATTTCCTGAGATACCCCTCAGATGGTTCTCAGTAAAAGCTTTTTTGACATTCATTTAAGTTTCTGCAATTTCCTGCAATTCGTTGATTGTTCTGTGACTATCAAACATGATAGTATCGCGAATTTTTTTTAACGTTTCCACCTATCCTTGATTTTAAGGAATCACCAGAATGGGGCCCATCTTGATGAAATTCGACCACTTCTCAATCGAACAAACTAATAACAATCCGTATGTGCCTGCGATTTACGCCGTTCTTATTTTAAGTACTTTACATGGTACTTATATTCTCTACTACA